GGCACTGAAGAAGAAGAGATTTTTTTAAAGGTAAAAGAAAACATCCTCCCTGTAAAATCAAGGTGGAAAAATAACTTTACAGGGTAATCAGGTTCAAAGTTAGGTTCAAAGTTACAGCAAACAGAGATAAACTCTCTAGCAAAAGGTACATTTACAAGTTGAGAAAACAAAGGTAAACTAACACGCCTTGCCTGGCTGTTTACTTACAAGTTTGAAATATGAGAGACTTGTTCAGAAAGATGTGGAGAGCCTGGATTGATGTCTGGTCCCTCTTAGTCCCAAGAGCGAACAACTTCCCAAACAAAGAGCACAAACAAAAGCTTCCCCCCCCCCACCAAGATTTGAAAGTATCTTGTCCCCTTATTGGTCCTTTGGGTCAGGTGTCAGCCAGGTTACCTGAGCTTCTTAACCCTCTACAGGGAAAAGGATTTTGGAGTCTCTGGCCAGGAGGGATTTTATAGTACTGTACACAGGAGAGCTGTTACCCTTCCCTTTATAGTTATGACATGGTGTGAAACAATTAACACCTAGTCTCCACTCCTGCTTCCATTTACATCAATGGTAAAAATACCAATGATTCCAATGAGAGTAGGACTGGGCCACTGACAGTTTCTTCCCTCAACACACACACTCATTTAATGTATCAAGCAAATGCCAAATTAATGAGATCTTACATCTGTTGCCATCAGCTCTTCTCCGTCATCCAAATTGTCCACAGTCACTGCCCCTTGTGAACAAAAGTGGAAGTCATAGGGATTGGTAGACACCAGCAACATATCTGCAAAAGAACCATCATAGTGAAGCAGCGCCTCTCCAAATGGCCTGAAACTGATTCAAGATGAAAAAGAATCCATTGTTTGACATTTCTCTCTCTGTGTACAACTTCACACGCACTTAGAGCATGTGTCTCCTGAAGAGACAGTTGTAAAAAGGGGAAACTAAGGCTTGAAAACATTCAGAAGTTACACCCTGTTGGCATCTTCTACACACAGGTAATCAGCTGGTTCCCTCTCGTAATCCCAGTTCCACCAGGAAAAAACATTGTTTTCATTATCCATGATTGGCTACTAACACAGCTAGGCTATGCTAAAATACCTTATTTTGGTTACCCCATCCTTTCACCCACTCCCCTGTGCTTGTTTCATTCACCTTTTATTATTGCCTTTTAGACTGTAAATTCTTTGGGGCAGGGACTGTCACGTTTGAACAGTGTTTGGTCCCAATCTTACTGAGGCAGTAAGTCAGTGGCAGAGCCAGGAATCAAACCCAAGAATCTACCCTCTCAGTTCTCATTTCAACCACTGTACCCTTCTCCCTCTCTCAGACTAGTGACCAAGAATTGGAGAGAGAGCAAGAATAAAAAAGTATCTGTAAATACACATCTATTACCCAGGAAGGCTGTTTTTGAGTACGTGAAGGTCATTGGTCATGCATGTGGATGCATGTTTCTGGGCACATGTCCACTGTACATCTTTAGAGATAATAGGACCCATACACATACAGAAGAGCAAATATCTCAGCATGATCCAAGACAGGGGCGTTAGACAATAAATAAGGTAGAGGACCAAGTATGGGTGTTCTGTGCTCTGCCATGTTTCCTAGCTACACTCAGAGAATAATGTATTTTAAGAATCCTTGGGCCGTGTTGTCCTTCGCTAGCCTCGTGTTTTAGGGGAATTCTCACTATTCCGAAGCGAGTAGAAAAAATATTTCACACTGTTGTCAATTAGCGACAGTGCAACCAAGCTTCTGCTCCACTACTTCCTTCTCTTCCATAATGAAAAACAAAAATTAAAGATACATATTATAGAAAGTACTTTGCTCTGTAAATGTTTGTGGAATTTGCATCCTCTGAAACAAAATGTGAACACTATACATTTGGGCTGGAGTCTTGCCTAATGGCACAAGCAGGGAATTGGGTTATCTTCCTGCCTTTACTACAGATGTCCTGAGTGATCTTGGGCAAGTCCTTTAATCTTTTTGTGCCTCAATTTCCCCACATTTAAATGGGGATGCCCCCGAAACCTGACTACCTCAGATGCTGTTTTGAGGCTTATTGTTTCTAAGATGCTTTGTGAGCCTTGGCTACATAAATGTTAAGTATTATTGTTTATTATATATAGTAGAAAACAAAATATTTTAAAAATCCAACCTGGAATTCCATTCTCCTATTCTAACATGTAACACTTGTTAACATTAGTGGGCATTCTGTATCTGCATGTCAAAATGAAAATTGCCCTTCCTGTTGCTGCTGTCAAAAAAAAACTCATTTTAAAAGATCCACAGATTAATGACATTTCATTTTGATAGACTCCATTTTTTTGACAAGTGGAAGCATAAGGATCTTCTTGAACATAACAGTATTTTTTTGCCTTTGGCCATTTACCCAATCAGGTAAGGCCTGGGTTTTTGCACTCACCCACCCAATATTTTAGGCTTACCTTGTAGCTCTGCTTTCTTTCCTGACAGGATTTGGTAGAAGATATGATAGGATCTTTCACCTGGCTGCTGGAAAATCACTCGGGATTTCTCCAGCAAATCTGGGTAGATAATAAAAAGTTCAGTAAGAGAAAGCTTCTTCTCTGAAGTGTCAGACACGAATTTGTGATTCTATAGCAAGGAGAATGAATGATTGTTGCTTACAAATTTCAATATCAGCAGATGACAGCTTGCCTGTGGTTCCAAAATGGATTCTGATAAATTTACCCTAATTTTGCAAAAGAAGATTCTAATTACTGCAAATAAACTGTAAAGAGGTACAACAAATATCAAAATACAATCCCTGCATGATAGTCAGACTGTTTAGGATCTATTAGCTTTCTAATGTGGGGAGAGGGTATTTTCCAAGAAGATATGCTGAATATACCAAATGTAGTGCTTAACTGAGTTATATATTGTGCTTAAAAGTTTTCAAAGCCTAGACAAACACACACACTGATGCGCACGTTTGTTTAGGCTTTGAAAAATGTTAAGCACAATATATAAGTATGTTAATCAGAACACGTAGTAGATTTTTTTATATATTACATGCACACACACTCAAAACACTTATGACATTGTTGGCATCACTGAAATTTGGTGGGATAATATACGATTGGAATGTTGGTGTGGATGGGTACAGCTTGCTCAGGAAGGATAGACAGGGGAAAAAGGAAGAAGGTGTTGCCTTATATATTAAAAATGTACACACTTGGACTGAGGTGGAGATGGAAATAGAAGATGGAAGTGTTGAGAGTCTCTGGGTTAGGCTAAAAGGGGTAAAAAACAAGGGTGATGTCATGCTAGGAGTCTACTACAGGCCACCTAACCAGGTGGAAGGGGTGGATGAGGCTTTTTTTAAACAACTAACAAAATCATCCAAAGCCCAAGATTTGGTGGTGATGGAGGACTTCCACTATCCAGATATATGTTGGGAAAATAACACAGCGGGGCACAGACTATCCAATAAGTTCTTGGACTGCATTGCAGACAACTTATTTCAGAAGGTTGAAAAAGCTACTGGGGGCAAGCTGTTCTAGACTTGATTTTAACAAATAGGGAGGAACTCGTTGAGAATTTGAAAGTAGAAGGCAGCTTGGGTGAAAGTGATCATGAAATTATAGAGTTTGCAATTCTAAGGAAGAGTAGAAGGGAGTACAGCAAAAT